CTCTCTCTCTCTCTCTCTCTCTCTCTCTCTCTCTCTCTCTCTCTCTCTCTCTCTCTCTCTCTTTGTTTCTCTCCCCTCCCCCTTCTCCATCTCCATCTCTGTCCCTTTCTATATACAATTTTGGGTTTGTTTGTTTTTTCAAATATGGAAAGATCTTTCAAGGAAACACCATTTTAAAAAAGCCCTATCATGTCAAATTAATAATGAAGCTTCTTTTTCTGTATTATAGTCAAAATAGCATTGCTTAACTTCAAGAGTGACGTGGTCAATCAGCTCATGGACAAGCATGCTAATGAAAACAGATTCACTCACTTTCTATTTTCTCTGGGTTAGAATTTAAATGAGTAGAGGCTCAATATTCAAATAAATTAAATTGTTCCGAGAAGATAGAATAGATAGAATAGATTCAGATAAGAGAAACAAAGATGACCAGGAGATTAGAAACTTAGCTATTTGAAGAAAGATAAAGGCAACTGGATATAATTACACTTGGAAATGTTTGATTGGTGATTTGTATCAGTTTCCAAGTTCCTGAAGAATCATCAAAATGGAAGAAAACCATATCTAATCCATAGTGGTCTGCAGAATACTAGTTTTAAATTAACAGGAATAGGATTTTCAGTTTAATATCAAGAAAATTAGTCACCACCTACTACAATGCTCTCCACACAGGGCAGCCCTTGAACAGCATCCAAGAAGCTGCCACTGGTTCACAATGCAGCAGCACATTCAACTTTGGGCGCACTTGAGCAACACTACTTCTGCATGGGCTGCACTGGCTCTCAGTTGCTTTTTTGGTGTAATTCAATATGCTGGTTCTCACCTTTAAATAGCACAGGGCCAGGTGATTTGCCTGTTCTAATAGGTTAGATAGGATAATGGACTCCAGGTCCCTAGTGTAGCTATGTGGCAGGTCAATGGAAGTACATCTCTTTGGTGGCCACCCCAACCCCATTGGAACAGTCTGCCCAACTGCCCCTTGTGAGGTCTATGAAGACCTGGCTGTTCCCCATGAACTGGACTAGGGTGATGTTTCAGCTGTTGGTCAACAGACCTATGTGGCTTGTTTTTAACTATGCTTCTTATGGATTATTGTGAGCCACTTAGAATCACCATATGAGATGGGCAGCCATAAATGTCCTGTAAATACATAAAATGCTGTAAATAAAACGTTATAGTATTAAAAATGTTGACAATAAAAGCAACTGGTGAAAGAGAGGAAATGAAAGCAACTGATGAAGGAAAAGATGAACACTGGAACACTACAAATGTCCAGGCAGATCATACACAATCAACTATCAAGGGTGACCTAAATGGGATATTAAACAATCATATGATTTGAGGTTTGGAATACTTCTATCTGCAAATTAAATTAAACATATAGCTGGACCCTGAACTGCTTTCATTTCCCATTTGAATTCATTTTGGGGGTAAGCAAGATTATCAATGCTCAGGAAAGAAATGGTAAATAATAATCCTTGCCCTATCATATTTATCCACCAGTATTTCATCTTGATTTTCAACATCTCAATTGTTCCTGTTTGAGGTTCTGATCAACTTTATCCAACCCCACCTTTTTTCTTTCACATGTTTCCACCTGTTGATGTTTTCTTCATCTAATTGTTTTGTAATTTGATTGTCATTCATTTTCTCTATTTGATCCAGTCATGTAATCATACATTCATTCAGATTACTTGCTATTATATCTGATCTATATTCACCATTTCCCATTAATTATTGATCTTTTGCTTGTTTTACCACCTCCACTTCTTAAATAATTATTTCCAACTGCATTTAACTTCCTTGTATTTTTCTCTTGTTACATCCAACTCTCACTTCATCTGAGCAGAATAGGAAAAAGTATCCCACATTCACTTAGATCATTTGGATTTTTAGCCAACAATATTGACAAAAGTACTTGGACATTCACATTATTGCTCTTAAGCATCACACTTCTAAAATTTCCATATAGAACTACACACATATCCATACCCCTTAACCCACATAACTCTTACATTAACACAAGCACTTCTTACACATTTGTTCATAAATACATGAAACAATGAAAGGAACAGTAGACATCCTTATTTATGTCCTGCTCAATACTGAAACTTTCACTAAACATTTCATTTATTATTATGCATCCCTTTATTTCCATATATACCGCTAGTTGCCAGCCATTCAGTAACTAAGCTTCAATATCATAGTCACACAAAATATTCCCTAATTAAAACTATTCACTTCATTATACTTTTTTTTTGTAAATCAGTGGACATAGAACAAATTTCTATTCTTACATTCATAAAGTTCTCAATGATCTTCTGATGAATAAAGATCCAATCCGCATATCCCTAATTGGCATAAAATTGTGCAATACTTCTCAAATTTAGCTCATTGTATCTCTATATACTTTCAATCAGAATATTGCTACTTTTCCACTCTTTTCAAAACATAATTGTCAATTTGCATTCTTGCAGTCTGGATTGGAAACACTTAGAACAAAAAAATGAAAATTCAAGATTTCTGGCTAGTAGTATTTATTATAAGAATGGCATTCTCAGTCCAAAGCTTTTTAAAATAAATGTACATTGTTCAAATGAAAAGAAAGCAAAGTTCATTTCTGCTTTCTGTCTTAATGAGTTTCTCATTAGCCAATAGTTAGTTTGACTTACAACTTCCATCATTAATCTCTATGTATAGTTTTGGATTACTATTCAAGTAAAAGAAAGTGATAAAATTGCATAATTACACACACACACTCATGTCTATATATATATATATATATATGTCTGTGGTTTTTTCCCCTCAGGTTACTCATCTATATGGTTTAGCAGTATTTGAAGACTATTTGTATGCAACAAATTCAGACAACTTCAGTGTCATACAAATTAACAGATTTAATAGCAGAGATACGAAGTTCTTAATGAGACTTGAAAATGCTAAAGATATCCTTGTTTACCACAAGAGAATACAGACAACAGGTAGGCAACCACAAATCTTAATTGTAATCATTTAATGCTCTATTTGCTATTTAAGATTAGGATGTTAACCTTGGGTTTAATGAAGTTCAACATATTTGCTCTTCAGCATAGATATTAATTTTACAGGGTTTGATGAAAGGATTGAATCACAATGGTTCATCCAATTTTATATTCATAATATTACATATGTCTTGGTGACTGAGTGAATTACAGATTCTTTCATTTCTTCAACAAGCTTTTAACTTCATATGTTCATATATATTACAATTGAAATAAAGATTTGAGTTTCAAACTAGATATTTATTATTATGGTAGGTTATATAATCAATCAGATATTTACACTTGGATTGGTATTTTTATCCACTAACTTAGTCTTTCCCAAGTACCTGGGATAGGCAAATGTTGTTGCTTGATAGTGTTAAAGGTATCATCACAGGATGTAAGTCATTCTAAATAAAGCTTTTTGCAACTGAGTGATAATGATTTTGTTGGTACCAATGGTATTCGTGTGGTATTCCGTTTTAAGATTGTCCCCAAGGCACCTATTATTATTGGTGCTACCTTTGCTTTCTTTTGCCACAGTCATTCTATTTCTACTTTCAGATTTTTGTATTTTGTGATTTATTATCTCCAGTTCTTTCTTCTATTCTGCTATCTCCAGGCATTGCTGCATCCACTATACACTTCTTTGTCTTTCTTAACGACAGTTGTTAAGTCTGGAGTTTGATGTGGCAGATGTTTGTCTCTTTGAATCCTTAAGTCCCAGGGCACTTTAGCTTCTTCATGTTCTATTATTTTATCTATTTTGTGCTCCCACCAGTTCTAGCTTGTGGGCAGGTATATTTCTTGCAGATATTGAATGTACTATTGTTGTTATTTTGTCAGGCCGTTGCTTGTAGTCAGATCTTCTTGCAGCAGCTAACTAGGTCTACCATTTCTTCAGATTCTTTGCAGAGGTGATATTTGCTGCCTGTTGCTATCTTGTTAATTCTGGCTTGGTATTATATTTCTGCGTGCAATCTATATAGCAATTTCTTAAGGGGAGATACTTTGAAGTTTTGCAGTATTTTGTGAGAAAGTAAATAATGGGGCTTTCACCTATTGCTTTTTTCTTTTTTAGGAATACTAACATTACAAAAAGTTAAAGAAAAGTGTCACTGATTTCATCTGATAGAGTTACGAGTGATTTTGCATGACAGTTTTTGTACCACAAAGAGGTGTATACAGCACAGAACTCATCTAGAATTTTTATTTAATAATTCAGATTTCCATTAGACTACTATTATATAATTTGATACTATTTAAATTTTGGCAAATTCGGCAAATTGATTAATAATGGGCACATAAATATATCCAATAAGATGACTGACTCAGAGTCTCTTTATTTTAGAATATCCCCAATAGTTGAAAATAAACTTTACAAAATTAAATTAATAGCAATAATGAGACGCTTACACAGCTTTTAATTATATTTTCCATGGTTACAAGTTTGCAAATGTAGCATGCTGCTAAGGATAAATATGTAGCTTTTCAAAAATTACCTCTTCAATGACCACTAGATCTTTTCACTCCTGCCTCCTGCCACATCAATGCTAAATTATTTTGAGCAGAAATGGAGAAAATGTCAGAACAGAAATAAGTTTCACTGATCATAAAGAAATGGAGAATAAATGTACTGTTATTTTCATGAAATATTTACTATAACTTACTAACCTCAAAAGGGCTCTATGTTGTGTAACTTTCAATAAGAAAACACAAAGAAATGTACACACACACATAAAAAGAATTGCTGTGAATAATTAGATGCGAATAATTGCACAAGAATGATGAATGACTGGTAAATACGGCATTTTTATGCAGAAGGTGGTTTTGTTACAAAGCATTACATTATCCAATTAGAGAAAAAGCAAGTGAGCAGTGAAAAATATGCATATGCATATTCACATATGTACGTGCACATAGGTAACTTAGGCTAGACTAGGCTAGGCTAGACTTGGCTAAGAGATAATATGAGATGAGATGAGATAAGGTAAGATTTATTGAAACATTTATTTCAAAGTGGCTGGATGCCTGTTTTAACAACACAGGGCACTTGCTGAGCATAAAAGAGGGGGGAAATCTTGTGGCGTAATTAAAAATTCATTTAAAATTACATTTAACATTTAGAGAGATAGCTATGAAATATTTGACCAGTATTGCTTAATTTTTATTGTGTTTTGATTATGGAACCAACATCTAAATGAAAATAGGAGAGAAGAAAGTACACTGACCTTGCCTCTTTCAAAATAAATAATTTGGATTTACAAGATATTTGAAAATACACACTCATCTGGACATGATTTGTTAGCCCTTCTGAGGATTCTTAAGCCCTACCTCATAATCCTCCTTTGCTGTTTCACATCTCCCAAGGAGAACCTGTTTATATGTACTGGGGCTGCATTCCTTTCAGAATATGAGTCTCTGTCGCAGTAAGAATGCAAGTCTTTTATTATGTATACACAATTGTAGAATTAAAGAGATGTCAAGAAGACAGAAGGAGAGAGGGAATCAAAAAGAAAATAACTATGTCTTCTGAGGTATTAGCACTGCCAGTTATGTATTCATAGTTATCTGGAACAAAGGAAGAATAAAAGACACCACATTTAAATAATTTTGCCTAGAACAGAGCTGAACCTTTAACACACTTCTAGCTTTCGTGAATCCCAAGATTATTGTACTTTACCTAGACCTCCAACTCAGTAAGACTCAAGGCTCTGCTCACCTATTTGGAGCCAGTTTGGCAATTTATGCATCCACTTTTTCCATGCAGAGTAAAGACAAAAAGACAAGGAAGTTCTTTTTTAAAAAACTACCTAAGGGTTGTAAAGCTTCCCACTCTTGATTGGCTGCTCAGAAAGTCATTTTCCAGGTTTGAATTGTCACAGCCTATCATCTAAATTGACAGGTTACAGTTGATGACAGATGAAACTGACATTTTCTTTGATTCTTTCATGTCTGAAACCCATGGAATAGGTTATGCATTCATCCCCATTCATTATATTTCTTTAGAAATTATGCTTTAGAAATTAAGATCTAAGAAACTTGTTCTCTCTATTTTTGGGGGGATATAAATTCTGAACTTACATTCATCATTCATTCTTTCACTCCATTCATTCATTCATTCATTCATTCAAAATTTATAAATTTAAATAAATTTATAAGGTCACCCATGTGACAGAAAGTGACTCTGGGAAGCCTACAGCAATCTTTTAAAGTAATAATAAAACAATCATTAACTGAAACCATTATGTAATTATAAAAAAATTAATTATAAAAGCAGAAATAACAAAAGAGAATAATAAATGGCTGGATGATAATAATAACAGAGCCATCTCACAAGTTCACCCATCCCTTGGGGTCACCAGGCCTGAGCAATGAAGCTAATTTCATCTAAGAGGGAAGAAGATTCCACAGTGTGGGCAATGCGGGAAATGTCCTGCCATGTAAAGCTCACCAAATGTTGCTCCCTCAATGAAGGAAACTGTAACATATCCATTCTGTTGGATCTGTTAGAACAGGCACATGAAATCTGAAAGAGTCTGCCTGCCTGCCTGCCTGCCTGCCTGCCTGCCTGCCTGCCTGCCTGCCTGCCTGCCTGCCTGCCTGCCTGCCTGCCTGCC